TCGGATTGACCAACGCTGACATTTACATGGAGATCAAGTGGCTTCCAATGGAGGGCAAAACTGTCTCGGGGAAGAGGAGGCAGGGCCCTTCCCGGGGGAAAAGAGTAGGCAGGCCCTTGCCGGAGGCAAAGGTGACAACCAAGCCACTTACGGGGGTAAGCTCGCGTACCCTACATACTTTTTGGGCCATGTTGGTGGGGACGCTCATGGGAAGTTGATCGTTGAGGCTCTTGAGAGTGGTGGTGTTTGTGTTGACCATTTGAGTGTGTTGGGGAATGTGCACACTGGCCATGTTGTTGTGATGCTGCAGTCTGATAGGCAGAACTCGATCATCATAGTTGGTGAGGCCAACATGTGTAATTGGCCTCAGAGTTTGCTTGATGAGCATTTGGAGCTGTTGAGGAGTTTTGGTATTGTTTTGCTTCAGAGGGAGATTCCGGATTCTTTCAACATCCAAGTTGCCAAGGCTTGACATGCTGCAGTCATTGGGAGTGATTCGCAGAAGAATTTACAATGAAAAAGGATTTTGTTTCTCGGATTTTTCTTTTTGGGGAAAACTTGTAACCCTAACTTCACCAACATAATCGACTTGGATTAATCCTTTTTTTTATTTTCGCATTTGAGTTTTTTAATAACCTAGGGTTTTTTCAAGACATTTTATGATATTACCTTTCTTAGATGGGTTAAATAATAGACACGTGGTGAATTTCATCACTTAGTGTAACGGAAGGAGCAAAATTATTAACAGAACAAACGGATGTTACATTTTAAAATTTGGGGTTCCATCATTAAACAAACTATCACAATTTCTAAAATTAATCTTAACTAATATTAAAAAAACTAAAATCATGGGGTTCCATCATTCACAAATCACAAAAATAAAAAGATTGAGAATAGAAAAGAAAAATCCATTTTAGAATTATCACAATTTCTAAATTCTTCTTCTTCTCCTCTCATACTTCTTTGATCTCCAAATACTTTCTCCCATGATGATTTATTGAAAATAAACCTAAATCTAAAACTAGAAATAAATCCTAAATCTAAAAATATTTATTTTACTTTTTTTTTCTATTTTTCTTCTCTCTCTTTTTTTTTTCCTCTCTCTCTTCTTCCTCATTTCCCTTGTTTTCTTTGGAAGCTTTCTTGTGGTCTCCCTTGCTGGTTCCTGGAGCTCTAGTAATGAGCTGATGAAGAATGGGCACAAAAAGCCCAAAAAATCCCCATTTAATTCACACCGAATGGGAGAAAGAAGAGGATGTTTGGTTGAAGGATTCAAATCATGATTTGAATTATGGTTCATGGTTTGCTACAATATTTTTTCTCACAAAAAATACACATAAATAAAAATATAATTCTAATAATATGATTTTAATCTATGAACCAAACGTCTTCGAAATAAGGCAAAGCAGGCTCCAAGTGAATGCGCCACGTGGCGGATTCCAATTGGGGATGGGAGAACTTGGCGACGTCATAGCGTGCAACAGGATGACAGAAAGGGTGCACGAGAATCTCTGTGAGGACGCCTACACGCGAGAAGAGAGAGCTAGATATAATTGGGGACAACCAAATGATGTGGCGCGTGTTGATTGGCTGTTTTCTACTTCTTTGTCTACTTGAACTCGCATTTCTGGGATGTGCTGCACACACGTGATCTGGTCTGTTGGTGGTGCAGATCTGACAGCCATAAAAGCGATTTCAGCTTCTTTTTCAACTCTCAAATTGGGCTTTGTTTGGTCCGAATTCTATTTTCAATTTCTAATTTGTTTATTTACATTTTGACACCATTTCAGCTCAAAATTTTACAATTAAGTCCACCTGTCACCAAATTCATTGCATAAATGAGAAAACTAATTATTTTGGAAGGGAAACTAAAATAAAAAATACTGAAACTAAGCTAAATAGACTAAAATAAAATAAAATAATTTAAAATGAAAAGTATTCATTAAATTTCAAAATAAAGTAAAATAATATAAAATAGGTTAAAAATCTAAAAAATTAGTCACTTTAAATGCATAAAATTAGTGAAATAACTCTATTTTTAATAGAGTTATCACGATGATAGTTGGGTTTTTTTTCTCGCGATTGTTCTTAATAAAGATTGGGGCCAATGCCTCAGAGTTGAGAACAAATTGAGATGAAGCCATTCGAAGATAGTATCAAAGGGCTTGCAAGTGATGTCTTGTCACTACCAAGCGTTTTGGCGCAGTGGTGAGTACGCTTTTGCTAGTACTTTTCTCTCTATCTTTTTAGAATTTAAAACTTCATAACCACAAGAAGGAACCAGCCCAATGTGAAAGTGAAGTGGGTGCCATGGCAGGTGAGAGAACTCTGGTTAGATGGATAAATTAGAGTCTGGTTGAGGCCATTTCCACTCCTTGCTGGTCCCCAAGATTGCCTCAATGGCCGAAGGCGATGGGGGCGTGAGGTGCACCACCTAATCACCTTTTTTAATCAGTAAAAAAAAGTGATGTCTCGCAAGTGATATAGTAACGAGACCTGAAGGTTTTCTCATGTTTTACACATATTTAAGCATGAATGTGGTTCCAAATTTTTTTGGAAAGGTTAAGTGCATGTTTTCTCATGTTCTGAAATCTGAATGAAGTGCCTTCCTATTGTAGAGTGCTAAAATCTAAGCAAATCTTTAAAGCTAGTATTATTGCTGATGCTATGCTCATTGCTTTCTTTTTTAATATTGCATTAGCATATGCAAATGCTATTGGATTTTTGAATGGAGGCTCCAAATGCTATTGGATGTTTCTGTCACCAATAAATGTTAATTATGTTTTTGACATCTGTTTACGGGTTTGGTCCCGCACTTACTAACGTTTAACATGGATTTGTACGACGAGCAGCAGCATTTAAGTTTAGAACTTGAACAGAGAAAAAGTGAAGAGCCTCACTTTGTAGATCATATTTGAATAAACTGAATTTAAATATGAAATAAAGTCGAGTTATGCGTTTATTAAACACAACTCGAATTTTAAACTCGAGTAATAACTTGAGTTGGTGAATTTTACTCACTTCTTGTTTTCTCATTACTCAAGTTTGATTCTACAGTGCGGATTGTCTCTGCAAAAATAACACTTTTTATAATTGGTGTTTGACTTTAGCATAAGTGAACACAAAACTCAAGTTTTTAATGTCAAATCAATCTCTTTCTAAATATTTAACTCAAAATCTAAACTAAACTCAAATTTTTTATAATTTAATTCCATTTTTTTAACTCAGATTAATAAATTTGAGTTAATAAAGTGAAGATGTCCTAAATCTTCAGGTTGGTCAATTCTAGTTATTCTCCAAGAACAAAGCTCCCTTCCGCAGCCAATCCAGTATTCAACAAATTCTTTTCTAAGGCAAGATGAAAATATCACAATTAAGAGTGTGTTTGGTAGGGGGGAAAAGAGAGAGGAAAAAAAGAGTGGAATGATTTTAGAGAAGAAAATAAAATTTTAAGTTGTTTTGTAGAGAATAAATGAGGAAGGAAGGAAAATGAACATTTATCGGGTCCACTAATTTTTAATTCTTCTAACTTTAAGAAGAAAAGAGGAGGAACAATTTTTGACAAATAAATGAGGTGTAAAATAATAATTTTAACCTTCACTGTTCATCATATTTTTATTTGTATTAGAGTATTATTGTAAAATGCCTTAAATTTGACATTTTTTTCACTTTTCTTTCTCTTCTACCAAACAACATGAAAGAAAATCATTTACTTCCTTCACTTAGGTATTTTATTTCTCTTTCCATCTTCTTTTATATCCATCATACCAAACATAACATTATGCAGTTTCTCTTATAGGCCTGACTTACTGATAAGTCAGTTTTTAACTGTTAAATTTAGTTAAAATCACATCAAATTAAAAAAAAATACAGAATAAAATTTTTTGATATAAATTTAATTACTGAAAATAAAAAATTATCGTTATTTTATTTTTTTATCATACTAAAAAAGCTCCCCACAACTAAAAATACATCAATTTTAACTTTAAAATTATAGTGAGAAAAAGTGGTACTTGTCATCTCAAATGAAAGGGGGGCATGAACCTCCAACATCAGCCTCACAATCAAAGACGATAAAAAGATAAGAGATAGAGTATGTTTGTTTCACAACTTAAGTTAATAATTTGAGTTGTGTATGTAAGAAAAAAATATTATAATAAAAAAATAAATTTTTATTTTTATGAAAAAAAATAATGTAACAATAATACTTAAATTATGACTTGAGTTGTGAAAAAATAAAAAAATTTTCACATAGCATATCTGAGCAAGCAAGACATAAAAAAATTTATAACTGTTAATTTTGTCCAAGAAAAAAAAAGGGCCAAGAAATTAATGTTGCAACAACTGTGAGGTGTATAACATATAAAAGTCTGCGAAGAGAAATTAGAGAATCTCCAATACAGTGTTTTATATTTTGGAATGGTGTAATATTATATTTCAAGATGTATTTTACTAATATATTTTTTCTTTTTTATCTTATTAAAATAATTCTTTTAGTAGAAGAGATAAAAAGGTTATTTCTAATATTTCTCAAGTAAATTTAACAAAATTTAATAGAGCTGTAGAGGAGGTGTTGACGTGATTAGATATGTTTCTATAATTTTAGTAAAATAAAGGAGTTAGTATTAATTACTCTATATAAAAAGTACTAATGACTCTTCATCTTTACTTTTAATGTAGCTATTGTGTTTTCTTTCTTTTTTTATTTTGCTTCCTTTTACATTTTCTTTTTATTTTTTTGGCTTATTATCTTATAAGTTTTTTTTCTTTATTTTTCTGATAATATTATATTTTAAGATGTATTTAAATAAATTTTTTTTTTCATGTTTTTATAAATAAATTCATCACTATCTAATGAATAATAAACTATTTAAGACTTTAATATCCATTATCCACACTAAAAAGAAAAAAAAAATCCACAATAAGACACCATTAAGCACTAATAAATCTCAACAAAACATTGATTAAGCCATTCCCTCCAAATTTCCATAATATATAAACACTAAACATCCAAATTCCACCCCCAAACCCTCCATTTCCCGCAGCAATGGTGAAATTCCACGACCACATGATCTCAGACCTCCTCGACGATCCTCCCATCAGCAAAAATGGCGGCAGCGGCGGTTGCGGAATCGGAAGCGGCCTCGTGATCCTCTCCTCCGGCCTATCTCTCTCCAAACTCATCTCTTCTCTCCTCCTCCTCCACTCCCCTTCGGCCGGCACTCTCCTCCTCCTCTCCCCCTCCTCCCCTTCCCTCAAATCCCAAATCCTCCACCACTACGCCGCCGTCTCCGACCGCCGCATCTCCGAAATCTCTGCCGACATCCCCGCCCACCACCGCCTCTCCCTATACTCCTCTGGCGACGCCTTCTTCATCACTACCCGAATCCTCATTGTCGACCTCCTCAACTCCAGGCTCCCGGCCTCCTCCGTCGCTGGCCTCCTCATCCTCGCCGCCCACTCCCTCTCCGAGACCTCCACCGAGGCCTTCATCGTCCGAATTCTCCGCTCCCTCAACCGGAACGTCTACATCCGTGCCTTCTCCGATAAGCCGCACGCGATGGTCTCCGGCTTTGCGAAGGCCGAGCGGACGATGAAGTGCTTGGGGATCAGGAGGCTGCACCTCTGGCCGAGGTTTCATGTCTACGTTTCGGAGGAGTTGGAGAGAGACGCGCCGGAGGTGGTGGATGTTAGGGTTCAGATGAGCAAACACATGGCGGGCATTCAGACGGCGATAATCGAGGTCATGGATGCGTGCTTGAAGGAGATGAGGAAGACGAATAAGGTCGATATTGAGGATCTGACGGTGGAGAATGGTTTGTTCAAGTCGTTTGATGAGATTGTGAGGAGGCAATTGGATCCCATTTGGCATACTTTGGGGAGGAAGACCAAGCAGCTTGTGTCTGACTTGAAGAGTCTGAGAAAGCTCTTGGATTACCTTGTGAGGTATGTAACTTTTTGCCGTTTGATTATAAACTGAAAGGAACATTCTTTTCTTTAAAGACTAGTCCTTTGATTTTTTTTTGTAACAAGTATATACTTTTAAGTGTTAGGGAAAATCTAGGCTAAACTTAAATTAATCACGAGAACGAAAATATAAGCAGAAATCAACACCAAGAATTTATACAGGTTTACCACTTTGACTACGTCATATTTCTGCTTCCGCAAATTTCACTTTATTATTGAAGAAAATCCGTACAAGATAATCACTCGATCACTCACATGTGTTTTTCACACACTCAACAGTGTTTCTCTGCGCCTCTCATTTTGATTTCCCAAGAGAAAATTGACTAATGATAGGCGTTTATATAGTACAAGAAAAGCTTGAAAAAACCCTTGTCCGCCCATTCCATGGAGCTGCGGCGCCACTTCAAACGATCTTGTGTGTGCTGTGTACCTGCTGGCACTGCGGCGCCAGGCGAAACTCTTGTGCAGCATTTCTTCTGGGGCTGCGGCGCTGCGCCGTTTTCTTCTTCTTCTTCCTTGCTTTTCTTCCACGTGAGATTAGGCTCCACAATCTCAACATTAAGAGCCATTTGTGCCAATCTAATGAATGTTGGTGTGGAATTCAATGAAAATTTAGGGAAATTCGCAAAGTAAAAGAGGTAAAATTTGTGTTGAATGGCAGAATAGTAGTAGTTTATATTCATTGGAAGTATATTAATAGTTTATATTCATTGGAATTCAAGAGTAAAATTTCCATATTTCTTAATTTAGGACTAAAGTGCCAGACCAGTGAAAGTTTAAGGGGCAAAATGCTAATAGCTAATGAGTCTAGTTTATTTACAGTATGCAATCTGAGTTTATAACAAACCTGGAAATTGATTTGGCATGTTATTGGGAGTAGGTATGATGGAGTAACTTATTTGAAGTATTTGGATACACTGAGAGTTTCTGAGAGTCATCGGTCTGTCTGGATATTTGCTGAGTCAAGCTACAAGATATTTGAGTATGCGAAGAAAAGGGTTTATCGTTTTGTGAAGTCGGATGGTACGAAATTAGGTGATCCAAATAAGAGTTCAACTAGCAGAAAGAGAAAACTGAAGGGGGCTGCTGATGATAGTGAAGGTAATGGTAAGGGGTGACTATAAGCTTCTTTTGCATTTTGGATTGAGCCATCAAGCATATTTATTGCAGGCCTTCAGTGGGTTTCTTTTCTTTCTTTTTTCTTTTTTTTTTTTTTCTTTTTTCTTTTTTTTTTTTTTCTTTTTTCTTTTTTTTTTTTTTCTTTTTTCTTTTTTTTTTTTTTCTTTTTTCTTTTTTTTTTTTTCCTTTGTTTTTCAATGGATTTTCTAAATGTCTAAATGTCTCTTTATCTTTCACGTGCATACAAAGAAGTTGGTGGCTCCTCGTCAACAAATACAAATGTCACAATATCTCTGGATGAAGTTTTAGAGGAACCACCAAAATGGAAGGTCTTACGTGTGAGTAAGTGAGTTCCTGTTTCTACGTGGTCTATTAGGATTACCCTCCAGGGATCATGATTAAGACCATAGAGCTTTTATTTATTTCCCCTAAAACAACTATGAGCATAGAGCTTTGTGATTTGTTATATGTTAGTACATATTTATGTGATAAAGCAAGTTTTGTCTCAGCCAGTTATGCGTTGGTGATATGAATTAATGAAGTCGATGATAATTGGACGTTGTATGAAAAATAAAATAAATGAAGTTGATGATTATTGGATAGATTTATCTAAAGCAACGTGTTTTAATTTGTTAAGGAGGTCCTTGAAGAGATAGAAGAGGAAAGACAAAAGCAGGGTTTATCAGAGGATGATTGTGGCATTGTTCTAGTGGCATGCAAAGATGAACGCTCATGCATGCAGCTTGAAGAATGCATCACAGCTGGTCCTAAAAAGGTTTTATTTTCTTCAATTTCTACAAGTTTCGGATTCATTTTGCTTCATATTAGTAAGCACTGTAAAATTCTCCCATGCATGGTGGTCTGAGACAATGCCGCTGGTCTAAGGGATGTTTACATTGCTTTTGACTGAATATCAATATATAATAGTAGAAGTGTGATTTCAGAATGTTAATTTTTTAGCACTTTGATTTCTGCACCTTTTATGTCTGTTTTGATTAGGTGATAGTTATACGAAGATCTCTATTAAAAGCTATTGAAGCCATGATCAGACATAATTTCTTTCAGGACTATTTGTAGAATTGATTTGGTTTTTTCTTTTCAAGGTCATGCGGGATGAATGGGAGAATTACTTGCTGAACAAAGTACAGCTGCGTGATTTACAAACACGTTTCAAAAAGAAACCAAAGGAACCTAAAGGTTTTGGGATTCTTGATGGAGTTATTCCTGTAGCACCTGCAACAAAGGCAGAACCCAGCAGCATAAACAAGCAAGAGAACGATGCACTTGTGGCTGCAGCGTCAGAAATTAGAAACCGAATAAAAAATGATGATATTGCTGTAGTTGACCCTCAGCCTCAAGTTGGCAGTGAAGGAGGTGGAAGAGGAAAGCAAAAGGTGGGGAACAAAAAGCAAAGCGCAGCTAATTCTAAGAGTCATGGGAACAAGGGTAACAAGAGTAAAAAGAAGGCAGCATTAAATGAATCTAGTTTAGAAAATGAAGGCCAAACAGGTGAAGCTGATCCAGTAGCTGCAGACGGCTTTTCAGAAGCGATAGGTGATGATGCATCTACAGAAAAAGGGGTTCTGCGAAGACATAATCAAGTTGCTGAAGCTACGGGATCTGGAGCTGGAAGTGCTAATAAGCCAATACCTCCGGTGCACTTTTATGCTCTAGAAAGTGGTCAACCCATACTTGACATTTTGAAGCCGTCTGTGATTATTGTTTACCATCCGGATATGACATTTGTCAGGGAAATTGAAGTCCACCAAGCTGAGAATCCATCAAAGAAGTTGAAGGTTTATTTTCTTTTCTATGAAGATTCTACAGAGGTGCAAAAGTTTGAGGCTAGCATACGCCGGGAGAATGGAGCATTTGAATCATTGATTAGGCAGAAATCAATGATGATGATCCCAGTAGATCAGGTTTGTGTGTGTTTGTGTTTGTTTTTTTTTTAATTATTATTTTTTATCGAATATAAACATGCCACTGGAGTTTCATTCCATGAAACTTTGGATGCCCTGTTATATGGAAGGTAGCTTTGTTCTTTCCTTTATACCCTTTCAGCTATTACTACGCTCCTTTTTTTTTCCTTCTTTTTTCCCCCCTTCCTAAACCGATGTCTCTGCGAATAGTTTCCTTGCATTTTGGCCTTCTGTGGCCAAAAGATAAGCAGTTATCTTTCTTATTGATTGTTGTCACATGGGTTTTGGGTCAGGATGTCAACTGCCTGGGATTGAATTCTTCTTTTGAGGGTCAAGGTGCATCATCTCAAAACGCTGTAACCAGAAAGGCAGGGGGAAGAAGGGAAGCTGAGAAAGAAATGCAGGTACGTGATTGAATTCTATTCTGCAAAATCATTCTGCATTGTCAGAGATAGATGGTTAAGACCTTGTTCCTTTTCAGGTTATAGTAGACATGCGAGAATTCATGAGTAGCCTTCCAAATGTTCTTCACCAGAAGGGAATGCGAATAATACCGGTGACCTTAGAAGTTGGAGATTATATCCTTTCACCATTAATTTGCGTGGAGAGGAAGAGTATCCAGGATCTTTTCATGAGCTTCACATCAGGCCGTCTTTACCACCAGGTTGAAACGATGGTTCGGTATTATGGAATACCTGTCCTCCTAATTGAGTTTTCACAGGACAAAAGCTTTTCATTTCAGGTAATATAGATGAAAAATGTGAGGTGGTGGTATTGATAGATTAAAACTCAGTTGTTTTGATGCATTGGATCTATCTTTGCAGTCTGCAAGTGATATTGGTGATGATGTGACACCAAACAATATTATATCGAAGCTATCATTGCTAGCTCTACACTTCCCTCGTTTGCGCATTATCTGGTCCCGCAGTTTGCATGCCACTGCTGAGATATTTGCTGCACTTAAAACGAATCAGGATGAACCTGATGAGGAGAAAGCAATGAGAGTTGGTGTGCCCTCTGAAGAGGGCATCATAGACAATGATGTGAGGTAATTGACATGTTTTTGGTGTTATGTTCTTATTCTACAATCTTGTCCTTGTGCTCTTTAGAGCCTGTCCATATTTATTTTCGCCCTGTTGTTCTTTTATACGGTTAGCTGAATGTTAGGTCCATACGAAATTAGGAACTAACAATTATCTAGAGTAGAGGTGTATGTTATGTCGAGTAAAGACCCTTCATCAGTGAGTTACACTGAATGGACAACGCCTGATCACTTATCATTACCCATATTTCTTGCCTCTTTATTACCTTAGCCTTGGCCCGAAACCATTCTAGGTTCTCATTGCTTTGTCAAGAAATGAACCGCTGTTCTATACATTTGAGATGCCAAACTTGATGCTTTATCACTGTAAATTACAGAGCTGAAAATTACAATACATCTGCAGTAGAGTTTTTGAGACGGCTTCCGGGCGTGACCGATTCAAACTACAGGAGCATCATGGATGGTTGTAAGAGCTTGGCGGAACTTGCACTTCTTCCCGTGGAGAGGCTTGCTGAACTCATGGGTGGTCAGAAAGCTGCTCGTACGCTCAGAGAGTTCCTTGATGCAAAATATCCGACATTGTTGTGAGTTTTTTTCTGTAGAGATTTCACTTTGCCAATCTGAATCAACGTTGGCTTGAGCCTGAGTAGGGATTGGTATTTGTACGAGTGTTTTATTAAATTTAGGGTAAAGTAGGTATTTATGGCCGCCTTATGCCTTTCTAAGTTGTATCAATAAATTCATTGTTTAAATCAATTTAATGGACTATTTCCATGGTCAATTCATTGTTTGTTTAAATGAACATCTGGGGTTTAGAGTTGGCCTTGTTAAAAGTGCCGGCAAATATTAGCCTTCTTTCCCTTCCCAAGTTCCAAAGTAAGGGTGAGGCTCTCGGAAACTACTGCTCAAGGATAATTCTAAAGTTTTCTACCGAACAGTACTAAAAATTGACCATGGGACACATCCTAAAAACTGATATGCATATAGATGCATACATATACATATATATTTGTTTTATGTATATAAACGTGAGGAATTAAGGATGTTCTTTTCCTTCGAAGGTAATTAAGATTGAGTGTGTTGGAAACAATCGCTCAAGAATAATTCTTATGTTTTCTACCGAACAGTACTTAAAAGGGACTATATGGGACGCACACTAAAAACTCATAATAACATAATTTTTTGAGAAAAAAAGATAAATACTCAAGTTCACAGGTTATGATTTTTACTCCTTACTCTTTATTAATAATTTTTTTGATGGTATTTGTTGTAAGGAAAAATCTATCTTACCACGTCAGACAATAAATAGGCTCCACATGACCATTGCCATGCCTTGTCAGACAGCAGACAGGCGTTGACGGTCGAAGGATCAGCTTTCCACCTGATTAAAACTCAAATGTTTCAAAGATGAGTGCTTGTGGTAATGAAAAAAGGGTCGACCACTCCAGGGCCTTGAAGATAATCCTTGAAGAAACATTGAATAACAGCAAGCTTGTAATGAGCAACATCCACGATGGCGGTCGATCGATCAAATAGTTAAGTCGGAGATGGTTTCGAAACTCCGTAGACCGTCGATGGTATGCAAGGATCGACGAGGACGAGAGCTCTATCTTAACTTGTCATTCGGGCCAAGTGAAAGCGGAGAGGGTAGCGAGTTCAGTCATCTGACCCAGATCCTAAGAATACCCCTGAGGCGACATGAGAGAAATCCCTAGGTTACTTGCGGGCATAAACAAAGTAAGTGGTAAGAAAAATGATTACTAGCTTGTTAGCCGCCCAAAACAAACCAATGGAAAGTCATGGGGAAGTCACAGAGCTGCAATAGTGGACAGACTAGGCAGATGAATTGTCAGAAAATGCACTGAATAGCTACAGTCTAGTTGAGTAGGATAATAGGCTACTCGAGAGCAACCGCTAGGTAACCTTTTGTCTTGATTTTCTCCAAAATGTACTCTGTCAGATATAAAAGGGGCAAGACTCCAGAGAGAAAGTGAAGAGACCATTTTGAGAGAACTGGGCCCCTTGTAATCGAAAAAGAAAAAAAAAGAAAAAAAAGAGAAATTTCTCAAAGTGGACGTAGCTTTTGTATTGAGAGTGAACCACTATAATTTCTTATGTTCTTTTTATTTCCTTATGTTCCAGATTACCTTTGAACATTCATAAAACCCATACACGAGCAATTGCACCTTACTAATCGAGATTAACTGGATATAGAGTAGTTACTAACACATGGTTTGGTCGGTAATCTAACCGACTACTCAGTGGTAATTTGATATATTTCTGTTGATGAAATTTCACCGTCAACAGTATTCATTATTTTTTGATTAAATAACAAGAAATTGCGCTATTCATTATTTTTCAATTTTTGATGGTAGATAAATCTTTTTTTTCCTTTTTTCTTTTTGAGGATTTTCTTGACTATCTGTCTCTTTCGGTATTCATTAGAATCAACTAGGAAGATTTATTATTATTATTATTTTCTACACTACATCAGTTAGGCATATATATTAATCCTTGGTAGTTGTCTGTCAGCCTTGGGAGTTGCCTTCTGAAGCTAAATTTCAAACAAAAATTTCTTGCTGAATTTGTGAAAGATATCCTTTTTGGATATTTTAACCCGGGCAAGTGACTCAACCTTTTTCTGGATTAGGGCTTTGAGCACAATACAATAACTGCACATAAATTAAGGTGCTTTTCTTAAATCGAGAAATTTTTAGATAATTATCAAAACTTCTATTATATATACGTATACCTATTTTGTTTAGTTTAAACTTTAAAGATAAGACATAAGGCTCATCACAATACTTTGCATAACATATTTATAAAAAATAATAACCAAAAAAACATAAACCCTAACATCTCTTAGAGTGTGATCACTAGGTAAGAGTTTGCCATGGAGGATACTGACAATGTTCCTTCTCTCATCGCCACAAACAATGGCGAGTCTATTCACTCATCGGCACATTCTTTCGACGATTCTTACTTCGATAGTGTTCCCGATGGATAGATTCACACCTACAGATGAAGAGCTTATTCTTTGTTACTTGAAAAAGAAGGTTGACAATGTCCCTTTGCCACCAAACAGGATTAGAGACAGGACATTTATGAATTAAATCCTACCGCTCTAGAAGGTCGTTATAAACTCAAATATCCAACGTTCATGCAATCTTCTCTCTCTCTCTCTTTATTAGAAACTTCTAATTCGTTTCAATGAAGTTAAAAACTTCGACACTTTCATATATTTTTCAAGAATGGCATTTTCTTTTTGGTTAAGTTATTCTTAAATTCAAGTGCATTAGTGTAGTGTTCATTGTATGTTACTTTTTAGACTCGCATTCCTCATTAGATATTTTTTCTTGTAATTAATTAATAATCATATGCATTCGTGTTGTGTTGGGTAAAATCCCAATATTCTTCTGAATGAATAAGGAAAGTTTATGCTTATATTTTTTCTTTAGTCTGCTTTTGCATTGTTAATTTGTTCTTCGGTTTAGAATACCATTGGTCTTGAAATTACAATTATTTTTTTGTTTTTTATCTTTTACGTGTCGTGTTTTGCTTCCTATTTATTATATGTTTTCTTCTGCTTATCGCTCTTATAAAGATTTTTAAGCTTTGTCTATCAGTTCTTTTTAAGTCACATATTCAGGGTTTTATCTCTCTAAACCAGGTGTATTTTTTTTTCCTCTTCCGTATACAATATTTAGTTCTCCATTTATTCTCTAATATAAATGGTCTGAAACCTATTTTAGCAAATTCTTTTTTGTTCAGATTTCTTCTTTCTTTATTTTATTTTTTAGTTTTTATCATTGTTACAAGAAAAAAAAAAGGAAAATTAATGAGTACCGAATAATATTGCTAATAGAAAGTTAATGGATCCTAGATGACAAGTTTCAAATTTGTATATATTACAAAAAACACAAACTAGAGCTATTTTTATTTTCTTTGTTTTCTTTCGTTCTTTTTTTTTTTTTTCCCAATCCTACTTGTATTTTCTAATTAGTGATCCTCGTCTTATTTCAAGCAACAAAGAGTGTGCCCAAGTGACATAAGGTTTGTTAATCATGTTCATAATCAACAGAGAAATACAAGCTGCATATAGAAAATTAGAACGGTATTTTTCACACCAACATACCAAAAGTATGAAAATGGAGACCCCCCAGTTGGTGTCTGATTTTTCAAATTGTTTCAAACTAATTTTTCTATCCATACCTGATGCGGTTTAGTGATAGTTAATTTTGGAATTTTAAATGCTAGGATAACTTTTTTCTTCTTCTTCTTCTTCTTCTTCTCTCTCTTTTTTATTTTTATTTTTTATTTATTTATTTAAGAGGATTAGGACAAAAGGGAGTCAAACATTTTTACATTGAGATTTTAACAGTCAGATGAATAAAATAAATAACGGGAGACAATCTAATAGATCAGAGACTCGATCTCATATGTTTTAATGGACAGTGATGAAAATGAGATTTGACTTATATTTGGTGACTAAAAATGAGCTATGGTCATCACCCTTTTATTTAGAAGCTCAAACTGTTCTTTTTTTTTTTTTTTTTTTTTTTTTTTTTTTTTTCTGCAGGACATGCTCGATGTGTGCGTTCTTTGCAAGTTCCATAAGAAGGAGCGACCTCCAATCACCACCAAATCAGCTGGAAAGGAATGTCAGAATTAAAAACGAAAATGAGAGTTAAACTGACACTGAATTAAAAAGAAGTTCATGATCAACCATTTGGAGACAGCCCATCTAGTAATTATATTGAAGAGGCCGGAATTTTCTTTGAAAAAGAAGATCAACTGTTGTCTCCTTAAGAAGAAGAAGAAGTAGCAGCGAGCTTCGACGACGATAAAATTCCGCCGCTTACAATGTTAATCCTGCAACTTGTAACAACAATTAGGCTTGAATCTACTGAATGAGGCTGCAGTCACATGTTTGCAGACTCATTATTCTCTCTTCTCTTTGTGCGAAAAATTTTGAACTTCTAGTAATTAGTAGGCCATACTTTTTTTTCCCCTTTAAATGGCACTACACTCGCAACATAGAGCTAAATATTGGCTAAATTCATGGACTAACAAACGCAACCTTGCTAGTTGTTGGCCACTAAAACTAAAATTTAATTTGTTTGTTGTGTCTTGCTATTTGGAGTGTTGGACTCGAGGAAATAACAATAAACTAACATGTACTCTGACTTGTGCTCAGGACTGTCAAAAACACATTTTAATGGCAACAGTTAAAGTTCTTCCCAGACCCTCTTTAATGAATATGGTAAGTTGACCCGGTTTACCGACCGACTATCAAGTTACAAAGTCGAAACTCAAGTGGCCATCACTGGATAGATCGGTTAACCGACCGATCATGATTTGTTTTGACCAAAAATTAACTTTTTCAGTTGGTTTTGATCAGTCTGCTTTATTGCTGTTTTTTTTTTTTCGATTTTTTTGAACAACCTGCACCAAATTATTAAACTGACAAGACCAAATTAAACTAAAGCAAAGAAAAATCAAACTATACTAATTAGTAATCGGTTTGATTTAATTTGAATTTTCCGAAAATAGATTAACTTAGTTTGTTTATGGTTTCACCATCAAAAACCCAAACCAACTTTTATTTATATGTATTTTCAAAACATATATATTTGTATACATTTGTCGAAATTTATTATATGTTATAATGTTCGGCTGTTTAATGGTAGATTTGTATGTGTGTTTTTTTTTTTTTTTCTTATATAGTTAAAAGTTTTATTTTTCTTATGGATGCTTAAACTATGACTTTGGTTGTTTTATTTTGTTATGAATTGGATACTTATTTCTTGACTTATCGATATTTATGTTTAAGAAAAAGATGAACATATATCATAACAAAGTTTTGGTTTTAATAATGATTGAGATTACGTTGATACATTTAGTTCAAACCAATTATTAAATGAAATAAACTAATTGTAATCGACTTGCTTTGGTTTGGATCTGATCCCTTAAATGTTTGGTTTTATTTGAAAATCTCCAACTACTTTATAGTTGATTTGGTTTGTATTAAAATAAGCAGTTTGTTTGTCATATTGGTGCGTATTATAAGGCATATAAGTAACTTTACTGATGTTGAAAGTCCTTAAAATGAATTATTGTGGTAGTACCACAATAGTGCTAATCAAACTAATATAATTGTAAAACTCGATTAGTTGTAAGGCATGTTAATCAAATGTTGTAAAGTTAGTAGAGCTGTAAGTTTATATCAGGCTAAATGGATTGGTCTGAGGCCAGCCACAGTTGGCCTAGGCCCGACCTGAAGTTCTAAATTGGGTGGGGTCGACCGAGGTTTCGATCTTGAAAACTTATTCAGGGAGCCCTCTTTTTTTTTTTTTTTTTTTTTTTTTTTTTGAAAATACCTTTACAAGAATTATAATAATTTTTTTTTTT